AGCCTAGAGAGAGGAGTGGAGAGGAGCCATTACTAGCTCTCCTGTGATACACACACTTGGCTTGTAGGTGCTATATACATGATGGTAGGTCATCTTCACACCGGCTTTTGTGCTGACACCGCAATATGATATTGGTCGTCCTAGATAATGCCTCTGCTTGTTTAACTGGGAAATAAAGTATTTATTTTTATCCTTGTGCTAGACCCATTAGGTCGATTGCAATCAGCTCACTGATCTGTGTCCTGTCCTCCCGCGATGCTTGTGCGGCTGAATGTGTCAGACGCCGCAGATGGGAAGGGGCGGGGACACCTCTCCCCATGTGCAACATCGGCCACTCAAGCACCGCGGGAGGACAGGATGCCGGTGCACGAGAGGAGACCTGGGAAGCTGTTGCAGTGGAGGTAACAAAAGACAGACAGGAGACAGCAGAGAAAGTGAGAGAAGAGAGACGGCAAATAAATTCTACCATTTTAGCTCCCTTTCCAAATTGCCTATATTGGTCTAGATTTTGTAATTCTACTACCAATTCCCCTGCAATCTACCTTTTAGTGAATAGACCTGCTATTTTGTAGAAATAATTTCTGTAATACAAGAATGTACTGTATATGCAGGTGGGATGTGTGGGTGGGAGGAGCTTGTATATGGGCGGAGCACAAGGGGCCCCATAATTTCATATTTCCCGGGGGCCCCTTGTGTTGTCAGCTTTGCTTTGAGGTCAATGGTACCGCAGCCACACCCCCCAGCCGCAGTGATCGTCCGCACCTGGAACGCAGGTACATTAGTGCCTGCGTTCCAGTCCAGTCCGATCTGCAAAAATTGTGATTGCCGCATTTTTGCAGATTGCACAGGACCGGAACACAGGCACTAATGTGCCTGTGTTCTGGGTGCAGGCGATCGACTTCAATGCACCGCCACGCCCCCTCCCTCCCCCTGAACACAGGTGTTTTTTAATTGGTAGATCTCATTGAGCTTGTCATTTGAAAAGTAGATCTCCAGGCGAAAAATTGTGGGTGCCCCTGTACTAGACAGTCTCTGTAATGTGTGTGTATATCCCCTTTACTCCCTGTTCAGGTCACAAGTGCTCATTGTGTACATTTCCTAAAAGTCGACTTGACACACGGGTCTATGTGAGGACTTGTCCAATGGTGAGGTAATTATTCATCTTTTTTTCTTGCCCAGTCTCTGGTGTCCGCTCCCTCCTCGATGTTGGTTTTCAGATACTTCTGCCTCTTTCCGGATGGTGTTTCCCGTTCTTGTGTATCCCATCACATGAATCCTTATGTTCCATTTGTTTCCGATCCAATTACTGTGTCACCTAGAGCGGACCTGTGGAGGAGAAGCTGAAGTATCACACAGACATTGGTGGGGCACCTTTAAGATTTGTATTTGTTGTTCTGAAGTAGCTTTGCGTTATCTCCTATCGCCTCACTTCACACAGTGCACAAGTTTCAAAGGGAATGGGTTGTAAGTGCCTGTTGCATTTTTTGGAGCACATCATACATTTTTGGGGGCGTCATTCAAAATAAATAGCAACATACAATGTCCATTGCTGCATCACTGGTGGTGGGAATGGGCTAAATGTCAATTTCTGTGTTGAGGTTGCTTTATAGTTAAAGAATCCTGTTTTAGTGAAAGCTGAAGCCCTGACACATAATCTTAATTGAAATGCAGTGGTCCCTTGGTTCGTGAACAGGAAGTTCAGCAAAATTTTGTTTACGTTTGTAAACTCTGCATCTGGTGATGAACACAATCGTAGCCATCTTCCCCGCTCTGACACTTGGTCGTGGCTTCCTCTAGTTGAGATTGCGGTCTGATCAGTTTGATTCAGTTCGTGACCAGAATCGTGGAACGAATTAAGTTTGTGAACCGAGGTGCCACTGTATGTTCCTTAAAAGGAGAACTATGGGGTTAAGGCTTTTCCCCATAGTTCTCCTTAGGGTAACGGGAGGACACAAACTAGCGTCCTCCCGTCACCCTAAGCTCAGTATACTGCAAGCTACTGCTCACGGTATACTGAGACGCTGAAGCGGATCCTGACAATTATGTCTGGATCCGCCCAGTTGCGTGAGTGCCTATCTAGAGGCAGAGCCAGCTGTACCCGCCCCCTCCCGATCTGCCAGCCAGCGCTGGAGGATCAGGGAGGGGGGAATCCAGCACCTCCCCTGCCACGGCAGAGAGCCGTGCCAGGATCGAGAGGTATGTGTTCGCTCACCTCCCTATACTGAGCCGACCTGTGACAGTCTCATTGTCACAGGTCGGCTAGAACTATGAGGTGAGTGAAAAGCACTCACCTCATAGTTCTCCTTTTAAGGTCACAATATTCCTTTGGAAACATATTTTTGTAAAAGTAGCAGTGACATCATCACTGTACTGTACATAGTCTAAGCAGAGCTGTGGGAGGGGCCAGCAGAGACCACCCATTACATGGTGCCTGCAGAAAATGTCAGGAAGGGGCAGATACAAGACCAGTCATCTTTTATTAGGAAACTACGACACAGGATAGTTCATGCTGGATCATCGCACAGATCTGGAAGAAATACACAAAACACTCCAAGAACACAAATGACTCTGTATTTGTCAGCATTTGTTGAGCCCAGCCTTCAGCTTTATTTAGGTGTAGGCACTTACATCTGCTCTTTACAAACATACATGCTACTGTTACAGCACTGAAACCGATGATGTGGAGATGGCCTCCCCAGTATTCATGGACAGCAGTGGCAATGCACTTTTACTCAGATACCTGTACTCCTTTAGATCAGGCTTCCGATGTAGATGATGTAGGGGTACTGGCCTAGGTACATGCATAATGGGAAGGAGGGGCGACTGAACACCACAAGCTGGAAAGGCCAACCGACACTAGATCACGGAGCGGGTAAACTCCAGCCCCTCCAGCTGTGGTGACACTACGCATCCCACCATGCATATGTCTCTAGGAGTCATGCCTGTGAGTCTTGCAATGTCTTATGGGATTTGTAGTGCCACAACAGCTAGTTTGTCCACCCCTGCTCTAGAGCCAAGTTTGAACCCTTCCCCACTCTACAAATGAAAAGCAGTGTTAAGTGGCAGCACAGGTCAATGAGTAGAATGCTTGCATTTAATATATGTCAGTTGCCTAGGCAGGATGCAAGTATCAGGTATTGTACACAATACTTTTACTGCCCCTCCACATTTTCTGATCTTGATATTTAATTTCAAAGTCCAGCTACACCCTTTCCCCCCCCCCCTTTTTCTCCAAGTTTTAGATCTGTATGAACACTCATCCTCATGACTTTCTATTTGATAGGTGGTACACTCAGGGAGATGAAAAAAAAATAGGAATAGTGATAGGTTAGAACATCTCAAGATTTCCCACTCATGCCCTGGCTCAGGAGCAGATACCACAACAAGATATGATGGAAATATCTCCCATAGGGACACCACAATGAAAACCTTAAAGGCTGCAAGAAAGACAAGGGTAAGACACCAATGTTTCTATATTACAAAACATGAATTGTAATAAAGACCATGTTTCAGGAGATTGTACATTACCCCCTTTATTAGGACTTAAGATGGTGTTTAGAATGTGACAGATTCTGGAGTGAAGTTGCTATGAAGCCCACTTCAGATGATGGAGAAACCTCACTCCTCAAGCAGAATCTTAAAGAGGAACTTTACTCATATATTTGACAACTACATCTTCCAAGAGATACTTCTAGATAACTGTCGGCTTTTTATTTTGCGCACACCTTGTTTTTCTTCTCATTCTTCTTACAGTGGCCATTTTTACTAAAGGGCAGATGAATTCATCTCTCTTTACTTCCTGGACCTCTAGCACATGTGACCATCCACGTCATCTCTGGGGAGGAAAAGGTCTTTACCTTGGGAGATCTCCAGAGATTTCTCAGCAATGCTCTGCTAATTTAACCTTCCCCAGGATGCAATACAACCCACATTACATCACTAATGCCCAAGATGGAAAAACAAAATTGCAATGAAAATAAAAATATAATTAATGAATGTAAGATGGTTTCATATCAGCAGCAGAGCTACATGCTGATGTGATTTTTTTTTTTTTTTTTAAAGTGAAAGGGGGGAGGGTAAAGGTCCACTATAAGCCCCACTGCTTGGGTACAGGACAACCAAATGAAATTTATATAAGGGGGTATATTTTTTTGTTTGTTTGTTTAAACCCACAAGTCATTACCAAAAAACCTGTTGAACTGTTAAACCTCAGATTTTTTTTTTTTTTTTTGAGGAAGTGGAGAAGTGTTCAACATCCACATCCCACTGAATGAGTGCTCCTCACACCTTTCAAAGTGAAAAATTAAAGACAAATCCCTGACAAGGAAACATAACATGAAAGGACATTGACGTAACATTGTAGTCAGGGTTTTGATATTGTGTCTATGTAGATTTTCTTCCTGTTGTGTCAGCTAAACAGGAAGTGGTGGTGAATGCAACTGGAACATTGCACACAAAAAAATAATCTAACTAATGAGACAGACAAATAACCAGTTTTGTTACAAGTATTTAACAGTACCCTGAGCTCCCCAGCCAGACTTTCATTGGAGGTTCAGTGTCACATGTGGCCTTTATCTAGGGCAGTCTTTGGGGAGCTACGTGCAGACCCTCACAGCAGCCATGATCTGAATGCAATACCCAGAGATCCAGTGATGATGGCACCGGAGCTAAATAAGATATCTGATGAAAACAGAACGGTTTTATTTAAAATCTTCATTAGCATATTAATGACCAGAGGGGAGAAACCAAGGAAGGCAAAATATAAGCAAATTGAACTTCAGCTTTAAAGCACGTCTGACAGAACACACAGGATATTATCCTAAGGGAAATGATATCAACAACACATCATCCATTTCAACTAGTCACTATGAAGTTCAATGGCAGGTAAAAATCCACTAAAATCTGTTCATCTCCACTACATCGTACAGAGTGCAGGGAAGTGCTTGAGATGTAGAGTTACAGTGGCACCAAGGGCAGAAATTTAAACGACATGCAATCTGTCACTAGCATCAAACTGAACAATAGGCAGCTATAAAAAGAAACAGATTAAACACAGCCCTGTATTCATTAACCTCTCTTCGTCTGTCTCCCTCCTCACCCCCTCCCCCCACTAAATAGCAGTGTAATTATCCAGCTTGGTATCAACCACTTGCAATGTACAGCAGAGCTCAAACTGGGGGAGATTGCAGCAGGAGGAGGAGCCAATCAGTTGTGCTGCAGTGCAAGAATCCTGCCTAGGGAAGGAGAGGGCAGAGTGACAGAGGGGTGATCACAGTGTGCTGCTTCTTCTTCCACTGTCCAGTCAAGAGTGGGGAGCAGACCTGTAATGTTATCAGCAAATAAATAACAGGTCTCTCAGAGCTGTGGGGCGGGGCAGGGCAGAACTGAGCACATCTAGGACTGCAAAGATAGAAATACAAATCCTTTTGCAGGTTAACAGCTCTCTTGTATGCATTTCATCTGTGTTTGCCTGGAGTTCTGCTTTAACACAACACACTTACAGGGTTTTTTTACAAAAGGGTGAAGAGTTTGGAGAAGGCAGGAGAAGTGAACAATCTAGGACAACATAGATGATTTGGAAAGATTCTCCAATTCAGCTCACTTCCAGTTCAGCTATGTGGTCCTAGATTGCTCAATTCTCCTGCCTTCCCCAAACTCTTCACCCTTTTGTGAATAACCCTGTTATTTTTTTTTTGGGGGGGGAAATCAAACCGTATGAATAAGAGACCTGGTGCTGTAAACTACTCAAAACTACTAAAATCCAACTCCAGTTAGGTTTAGTTTCTCTATTAGTTAGAGAGGGATCACCTCTTGCATTTATGTGTACTGCGTTGCACCATGTGTTAGTGCATTGGGGTGCCATTCTAAATGAATGGCAGCGTACTAAGACAACGCTCCTGTGTTGCAAAGCACGATAATGCTACCGAGCATTGCATTCCATAAAAAGTCTTGCGCAGCTTGGCCCAATTCAAAACAGATGAACTGCCCTAACACACCACACGTTAACACGTGACATAACATATAATGCACCGCACAAGTGTGATCCCGACGAATCCCAAGTGCAATTTCGAGAAATTCAAGGCAAGACCAATAATTCTAGGAGCAACAAACACGCATTCTTAACACTTCTTTTTCCATAGCTACATACATCGAATGGCTTTACTTGCCGATATCCTGTGCAGTCCAATCTGCTGACTGGACAATAAAGGGACTGACGCACACTGAGAAGGTCACCGCTCTGCTCACTCCTACTGTTCGCATTTTCTTAGGTTTGGCTTTCCAGTGTTGCTGGACGAGAGATTACAGGAGGACCAAAATCAAAGTCAAGACCTTTTTAAATGCAACCAATATAAAACTTGAGCCCTCGCCCAGGCAACCTCCACCATCTCCAAACTGGTGTGGTGAATCTTTCTAGCTATAGTAATGCTGCCGATCCATTAGTGAAGGCGGCACGACAGATGGACAGGCAACACATGATCAGCTATTAAGTGTAGACAACAAACTGACACAGAACTTGCGGCATAAGGACAGGAGGGACTGAGCTTTCCAATTAACTTGGCGTGAAGAGCAATTGGATCACAAATACCAAATGGCGTTCCTGAATTACACAAGGCTGCGAATGTACTTACGTTTTCACAATTCTGCCATTAAAATGGCTTTAATGTTTTTCATAAAGTGTACATCTATATTACTGAATACATTCCAGAGCAGGAAATTAAACCTGCACACTCCTACAATACAATGATTTGTGTTTGGTACAAAAATAAAAGTGCAAAGCAAATGAATAAAAAAAAAAAAAGAATTTGAACACACAATTGACAAAAATGTCAAATCCATACCAATCAGTGAGATTCAGGATGCACAATTTTTATTGAAGTAAAGACAATTTTCCTCCTTGCACAGTCAGCCACTATACAATAGATCACCTCATATATTCACTTGTCACAGTATTCCAGACACTTGTGCCGATCGGATTATGCTGCCGTCCAGTTAAACCATATAATAAACGCTTTTAATGCTTCAAGCCCTGTATATTTTCTTGGAAAAAAACAAACACGGAAAAAAACCCACACACACAGGATATACAGACTTAACAAGACACTTAAATGGGGGGGGAAATACCCCAAATACACACACACTCACGCAAACACACCCACCTGTAGCCACAAAACTTCCAGGACTGCATTGTAAAGACTAAGTTGCGTCAGTTAGCAATAGATCTTTTTATGTACACCCATTAGTTATTTACATAAAAGGGCTAACTATCCAGTTGAAGAAATAAAAAAAAAAAAAAAAGTAAAGGCTCTTGTGTCAAAGTATGTGCGGTTTCATATCCCCATGAATATGTACAATGTAAACAGCACAGGGTACGAAGGTCCTCCTCGACAAGACCGATACCATTTTAATCCTCCTCCAATTCAGACTCGGACTTCTTGCAGACTGTTCGATTAAGGCTGTGGAAAGCAGGCACCCAACGATTGTCGTGAAGCCCCACCTTACAGCCCCGACTATCTTTTTGAGACATGTGGCAGCACATCCAAAAACCGGGGCCGTATGGCAAGGCTTGGCAGTAAGGTTTGGGGTGCCAAAGGCAGAGAGAGACGTCGCCTTTGGCGTACTTTTTCTTACACTGTTTGCAAGGGTCGTCTTTATAGCGAGGGTCCCGCACCCACAGCGAGTCGCACGGCCGAATGTCGTAATGTTCGATGATGAATTTAAAGTAGCAAAAGGTACATTTTAGGGCTGCCAAGGTTCGGGTGGGAAGATAACGAAAGATCTTCACTAGGATGTGGTGGGGCAGAAATGCCATGTACTGCTGGGGCTCCAAGAGTTGCTGAATTTTGAACCTGGTCTCCAGGAAATCATGAGACGCCTGCCTCTTAATGGAGCAGGAATCGAGTACCTGAGTTACATTTCCAAGTGAAGATATAGAGAGTGAATATTGTGCAATCATCGAGCTATTCTGCAAACACAGAGTATTGTCAAATGTCTTTGTCTCCAGGTTCTCAGCCCCAATCTTTACATCGGGGCTGAACTGTCCAAGTGCACGTTTCGAACAATTTTGATCGTTCTGAAAAAAGATTTTTCCTGGAGGAGTGTCTCCGGTTAAAGCTTTGTCCTCCGCGTGTCCTACTTCATGTCGTGACGATGTGGTCATTAATACACTGGCAGCCTTAACAGAGGCGGAGTCAGGAGAGGTCTCCACTTTATCAGCTGCTCGGTCATCTAAAGTCGGACTCTCAAACGAATCGGGGACACATTCAACAGCTTTTATACAGACTGAAATGGAAAATTTACAAGGATCCACAGTTACTGCAATATCACCCTTACATCCCAATTTTAGATAAGTCTCCTTGACCAGCTCCAAGCCTACACTGGCCACAAAACAATCTTCTACAGGCGGCCTAGACTCCAGATCTTGGTGTTTAGTTGTAGGATGGGTTTCCCATGATTTCACAGAGCGAAGGTCTTCCTTATTTTGCAGAATGTTGTTCTCCATGGCAGAAGCAGCCAGTTCTTTATCACGGTCAAGATCAGTGGAAGGCTTGGTTGGATGGTTGGCATCTTGTTGCAAGCCACTGGCAAGCAACATTCGTCCGACGTGCCTCCTTAAGCTGTTGCTTCTTGAAAGTCCTCCTGACTCGCGCTCATTCTGGCGCCTTAAGCATTCGGATTCCAGTTTAGCAACCATTTCCAAGACACACACAGATTCCTGTTCTGAGTTCTCAGATTGTTCTTTATCAGAAGGGGCTTCACTGGCTTCAAGTGCCATCAAGGAAACACTTGGGTGGCCACATTTTGAAGGTCCAACACACTTTGAAGGAGGAGAGTTGCTGAAAGGCTTTGCACAGTCTGAGAGTAACGCGCTCGCCCTATCCTCGAGAAAAGCTACCATCTCGATCACAGAAAGAGGGCGAGTGGGAAGAATTCCATCATTATCAGTGACATAATTAATAGAGCAGTTTTCAACTCCACTCGAGAAAGATTCGGAAAAGAGGCACATTTTTTGCACCTCGTGCACCTTCTCCGGATGGTTCTTTAAACGTTTTAAGTCCACAGATTTCTTTCGCCGTTTAGCAGCTCTTCCGCTCCCATCCCCAGTGCTTTTGATCTTCATTGAGTTGCTCCTGTAGTGATGCAATGCAAAGAAGGCGATCTTTTCCTTGGTATTCCCAGGCTTAATAAGTGTACAGCTGTCCGAATGGCACCCTTCGTCGTCATCATCATCTTGGTGAATGGTTGCATTTGGAACTTTCTTTGAACGTGCTTCAAAGCCATTCGACGCGCTCATTGCTGCGTTATTGCACATGGTGTTCTGAGATATTGTTCCCAGCGGTTTGCGGGGTTGATTATCACTAGAGGGTAAACATTTCTTGGTTGCGCCATTACACTGTTCTTCCTTAGCTGAGCTTTGGTTGTTTAGATGCATGCCTTTATTTGACCGTAGGTCGAGAACAGTGCCTTCTTTTTTCTGTAGCTTGTGATATGGCTTTAGAGGCATTCCAGAAGCCCTGTAAGGGAAATAAAAAAGGGGCAAGAGATGAGATGATGTAAATCAGATGACCTATGATCAAATCAAAGATGAGATTGTCCATAGTTGTACATGCTGGAGTTGGGCCTTAACTGCAAATACAATGTAGAACAAAAGTAGCGTTCCTTTCCCCCACCTGGGTCAATTTAGAGAAATCATTCATGAGAAAACCAAAGCAGAATGACCCCATCCCTGTTATAAAATACTCAATATGTTGAGTCACTGACCCTAGAAGTAGTATGCACATTGGTCAAAGATGAATTGACCAATCCCCTTTCGCTATTCAAGGAAACCTTCTTTTGGAGGAATACAGGATGGCCATTGTGGACATCCTTCTGAAACTACTATTAGCCTGGCTGTCTCTGGCTTCCAATGTTGGAGTCCCTGACCCAAGCCAAAATGTAGCGAGTGAAGTCAGAACCCCTGACTTGCATTCTTATTCACAATAAGTTGACCCAAAGTTCTGATGAACAGGCCAGACAATTAACATTTTCAAAAGGACAGCAGGCAAGGCTGGCAAAAAGACATGTTTAACTCCCCCAAAACAAGATTGGTCAAGAGCACGGGTAACCAAACTCCGGCCCTCCAGTTGTGGTGAAACTACAAATCCCAAGATGCATCTCTCTCCGGGAGTCGTGGCTGTGAGAATCTTGCAATGCCTCATGGGATTTGTAGTTGCACCACAGCTGGAGGGCCAGAGTTTGGCTACCCCTAGTCAAAGAGCATACTACACCAAGTGTTTTGTGTTCCTCCTTCTGAGGAAGGCGTTTTGGAAATTTTACATGGGAGGACGTTACATGTGCTCAAAATCAGGTGTGGGGTGTTGGATGTCCCGTACAGAGCCAGTTTGAACATTACGCAAGCTCTTTTGAAAAGGACAGGTCCCCATGCAGCACAGTCCTATTTATTCCAATGCATAAGCCGTATTCCACTGGACAGCTGGAACACAGCTCACCCATAGGAATAAATGGGGATGCGGCAAACCAAGAAGAGAAGCCGGCAGAGACAAGTTGCTAAAAAGGCTGATCGCCGGAACAAGAAGCCACACATTATTTATCATGGTCGGCTGCACCCGAGGGATTGGGGAAGTCAAAGGACAAGTTTACGAGAAGTGATCCATCTCCAACCAAATGGTAAATCTTGCTGTGCTAGATATAATTAAGAAACAAAACAAAAACATCACCACACAAATAAAGCTGACATGCGAACCTTTTTCTGGAAAAGGTTTTTTGGGCTCCATCTTTTTGTCATGTGACGAAATTAATAGGTAGTCATGTGATCACTACTAAAAGGAGTACATGAATCTAAACTCTGATTCTCCCCAGGAGCAGAGATCACCTGAGCAAATGTCTCATCATATCACCAATAGAGTAAATAATATTTTTTGGGGCTCCAGCAAGACTGTATATAAAGCTTTAAACCAACATAGAATAGGGTGGCTTTAAAGGAGCTCATAGGGTATCTACTAGGGATGCACCAATACCGTTTTTTTCAGTATCGAGTAATGATATTTATCTTTCGGTACTCGCCGATGCGGAGCACAAATACCGGTACTTCAGCTAGCATTGAGCCAGCTTCCCAGGCAATCAGCATAGAGCCGGTCAAACAGCATGGAGCCGGGCTTCCCGGCTAATCAGGAAGCCGGGGCGGAAGGTAATGATAATGTAATGATTAGAAATCTCCCTCTGACCGGAAGTTCCGGGATCGGGGGGGTCTTTGGTAAGTATCGGAACATTTGGGCAAGTAAGATTACTCGCCCAAATACCTTGTATCGGCACTGGATACTAGTATGGGAATCGGTCCATCCCTAGTAACTACAGTAAGTTTAGGGCACACATGCAGCAGCACAAGCATTATGTCCCTCCCTTCAAGGCACCCATGCAGCAGCACAAATATTATGTCCCTCCCTTCAAAGCCCCCATGCAGCAGCACAGCCATTAGGCCCCCACCCCTTCACCCAATCCTCCGTACAAGATGTAAAACTAAACCACCAACAAAAACCAGGACACAAAAACGAGGGACCGCTTACCGTTTGACGTGCTGAGAAGGTAAGTAGAGTTTCAGTTGATCCCTGTGGAAGCCAGCTCTGCACGAAGTCATCCTAGCTGCCTGCCCACAAGGCGTATTGTCACAGCCAGTCCATGTTGCTTCACTTTGGGTCTACTGCACGCCACAATCTTGATTCTAAAAGTAGAGAGAGAGAGAGAGAGAGAGAGAAAACAAAAAACATATTATATTTAGACACCACTTATAAAATTGTATTTAAACTGCTTCTAACATTTATAAATGAAAAAACACCCCTTTGGCTGCAAGAAATTAATTTTTAAAGGCTAGACTGTGCAGGGCTTTCAGACTACCTCTGGGTGGGATTTAACCCTTTAGCAAGTCATTCTGTACTGGGGGATGAATCGCATTGTCAGCTTCTCACATGTCCCAAAGAACTCACTAGAAGGACTGTTCCATGGTAGTCTGTGCCTTTGTCTTACTATATGGCCACAAAATGGCATTATAGTCATAGGATGATTCTTCACTGTACATTAGAGAAAACCCATCTGTGGAGCAAACTACCATCTGGCAGAGAAATGACTATGGTAACTAAGAAATCTCGGCGTTCTGGAGCCATCATCCCAAAATCCACCAGGAACAAGCCAACGTTGGATTCAACTTGCCAGCAACGGAGCCAACTGGGAATTGAGTTGGTCTTCACAAACTGAGGCTTGACTAAGCCGCTGCTATACAAAACAATCCGGGTAAAATAGCTCATTGGGACACATCGGGGTAACTGCTACACAGGCAGATTTTACAGTCATAAATACTCTGTAGACCACCACACATACTGAACCCGTCACACCCCCCTTAGTGGTGACAGCTCATACTCCACTAAACATCCATGCTTCAATTTGCTTTGCAAAGTCAACCTACAGCAGTCCCACACCTCTTCTGGTCACTAAATCACATTTCCAAATGAAACAAACTAAAGAGTTCATTTGTATTGGTTTGTTCCAGACTTCGATCACGCTGTGAAACCAGTTGGCGCGGTAACGCCATAAACATTCGCTGACCCACGCAGTCATAGAAGGCATGTGACCACAGTAGGGGCAAAGCCCGAGACAAGGAATAGTCTGTGAATGTGGCTTGTTCCATCATGCCAATTCATTTATAGCAAGCTCTTCATCATGCCCACCGACCCCCAATCTACAGTTCTACAAATTCTATACTGGAATAGAAAAATGTAACTTGGCAATAAAATATGGCCCCAATTTTTTTAAAATTCTGTTGCAACTACATATGGGAGTTTACTTCCTGTGACATTACTACAGAAAATAAAGTGGTGACCATCATCGGGACAGTACGGCAGAGATTGCAAAAACAAAAATTTCAAAAACATTATATTGTCAACAGTTCTAACCCTTTCCATGCGTGTCCACATTGGATGGATTTCCCATCTCTTCCTGTCCCGACACGAAGAGAGGAGACTAACCTAACAGAGGTTCTAAATAGGGATGCACCGATATCAAGTATTTGGGCAAGTACTCGTACTCGCCTAAATGCTCCGTTACCTTCCCCAATAATGGAACTTCCTGTAAGGGAACAAGGAGCCAGCTTCCTGGGCAATCAGGAAGCCATGTGGCGAGTAATGCTGATTATGATTGCCTAGGAGACCGGCCTCCCAGCCAAATCAGCATGGAGCCGGCTTCCTGGCCAATCAGGAAGCTGAGAGGCAGGCCATTACTCGCCACACGGCTTCCCGATTGCCCAGGAAGCAAGCTCCATGTTGTATGGCTGGCTCGATAGTGATTGCCTGGGAGATCGGCTTCCCAGCCGATTGAGCTGGCCACACAACATGGAGCCAGCTTCCTAGCCAATGAGGAAGCCGTGTGGTGAGTCATTACACGCTGCCCGGCTTCCTTGAAAATGGGACTTCCGGTATCGGCGAGCACTGAAAACCAAAAAGACGGTATCTGGGCATCCCTAGTTCTAAACCCTAATTGCTTAAAGTGACCCTAAACTCAGGAGTTAAAATCTAAAAAAGGCATTAAAGTCCCTTAACTATTAATAAAAATATATATCTTATTTGTGTATCACTCGGCTGTAGATCCTCAAATCATCTCTGAATTGGTGCCGACACTGTCCTTCCTTCTGGAGGGTGGCTACTTTTGTTCCCCATGGTCCCTCCGTGTGTTGTAAAGTAGCCACAGCTCCAAAAAGTCACTCCCTTGATGGACTACAATCTCAATACAAATTAGTAAACAAAAAACATAAGATTGTAGTCCATCACTGGAGCAAGCTTGGAGCGGTGACTACTTCAGAACACACACAAGGACCATCGGAAACAAAAGTAGCCCCCCTCTAGAAGGAAGGACAGTGTCCGCACCAATTCAGAGATGATTGGAGGATCTACAGCCGAGTGATACACAAATAAGAGACATTTTTGTTAATAGTTAAAAGGGGACTTGAATGTATTTTTAAGTTTTAACTCCCGAGTTTAGTGTCACTTTAATCCAAAAAGCAATTCACGGTGTCAGGATTTGAGCTTTAAGTCCAATGACACTGGGTGCGACTTCAAGAAATGGAGAAAATATTAGCCAAACCGATCACAACTCGGCTGTGTAGCACGATGATGATGATGAAGCATGATTTAAACACTGGACCAGCCCGCTGTTTACATTTAACATACCAAGCCTGACTCTTCATATAGCACAAATATGTATTAAAGAGACAGTAAAGCCGATGTACGCTCCCTACACAGAGGGGAACACTTTGCTTTTAATGGCTTCAGCCCAACGGAGTCCGTAGTAACCGCAAACACTTCTTTACTCTGCACGGTCTATTTTGGGATGAAAGTGTAGAACACAAGTTTAAATATATCCGCAGTTGTTTTTGCACGGTCCAACCTTCTGTGCGCACAGCAAAGGACATCTCACTTACAGAGACTTAATATAGTAAATAGTTTAGACTACAACATGATAAACAAGTCTGATGGAAGCACGTCTCAAAGTGGAAACTACTCCGCAGCTCGGATTTACTCGGCACTAGCGGGCAATGTGGAAAGTAAATTTTTATACAGACGGCATTGTCCACAAACGCAACTTTCATTTCATTGTGTCATCTGCGTGTTACTAGACCTCAAAGTACAGTTCAGGAAACTGATGAAGGAACAACGCCCCAACTCCGCTTATCATAGTGCCACTGTCCCGATCTTTGTACATTATGAGGGAAATCCCCAGCACCTAGACTGCAGTCATCCTGGACTGGAGACAACTTCCCCAATTGGGACTGAGAGTTAGTCAAGGGCAGGGGTGGGCAAACTCCAGCCGTGGCGAAACTACAAATCCCATGATGCATCTGTCTGGCAGTCATGCCTGTGAGAATCTTGCAATGCCTCAATGGACTTCTAGTTCCACAACAGCTGAAGGGACTAAGTTTGCCCACCCCTGGTCAAGGGTATGGGTATAGTTTGGGATAATCTCCATTTTGAACGCAGTGCTCGCTAAAGCTTGCACTAATCTGGCCATACACTGCCCGAGTCCTGCTGACTTGGCCCGAGATTCAAGCAGTGTGGGACCCCCTTCAGGACCCTCCGTTTAACAAAAGCCAGTTGTTTCAACTGACTTATCGAAAGGACCTGAAAATTCTCAGCCAACCAGCTGCAGTCATGATTTGGGCATTCTGACAGCGGCACATCCACTGCTGTCAGGATCCAATAGCTCGGCGAGGGAGATCAGATATAAAAAGTATTTGTTCAGCTTAAAGAATAACGGAGCATATGAAATGTTAACCCTTGCAGTGCATGGGGAAGCAAGGGTTAAGTGCTCATTTTGGGAGCTAAAATACGATATACTCACCCAAATCTAGGACCTGCTAGACCAGTCCCTGCAGTGTCACTGATGGTCTAAGCGAGTCATCACATGCAACACAGTGTACTGGACGTGAGGACGCCAAGGAACATTCCATTGCCGGAGGGGGGAGCCAGACTGCAGGGACCAGTCTAGCAGCCAGCAGGGTCTGATTCGGGTGAGTATCTCTTATTTTAGCTCCACACCGAAGGACACACTTCCTTCTGAAAATGTTAGCTGCCTGGCTGTCATGATAAATATTATACTAATACTTTGAATATCTGACCAGGAACAATATAGGTAAGGACTTTACAGATCTACATACTTGTTCCGGGTCAGTGGCCCAATATTCAAAACTAGAGGACCATAGGAGGAACTTTACGAGAGCCACACTGCAGATGGGGAAGATACAGACAAGATTGTCGGAATCCACCCTGCTGCCTGATTGACAGCTGGCTCTGCCCCTCTAGAGTCAGCTGTGCCCGCCCCCTCCCCCCTCTGTCCCTTCAATGAGTGTTGGGAGGAATGGAGAGGGAGGGGGGAATCTTTTGCTTGGCACGGCGACTGATGGTCACTACTCTCTGCAGTGAGAAGCTCATGAACCGAATGATCAGTGGTTTGTGATCGCTCAGTTGTTGATCAATAGAACCGACGTGTGACAGCTACAGTGTCACACGTCGGCTCCAACTATGGGGATGAGTGTATTTCACTCTCCCCATAGTTCTCCTTTAATGACCCGAGATATTAAACTTCCAGGTCAGCAACAGAAGCCCACTTATTTCTTGTGTGAAGTTCCTGGTAATGTAACCCACATTTGGAATACGTAAAAGGCAGGTTCACACCATTTTTGGGAGCAGATCTGGTCCGGAAAATGGTGTGACCCTGCCCGCAGTTCCAGTGCATTCCAGACCAGACAAAATAAGACTAGCAGTATTTTTCTGGTCAGGTCTGGAACGCACTGCGCTGGCGTGAACAGAGGCCACAAATAGCATAGGAATACAATAGGATGCATTTTGGGTCCGCAAACAATCTGGTCTGGAGATGATCTGGATGTGGTGTGAATGGGCCCTAAAACACAAAAGAGCCCAACTGCCAGAGCTTGCTCCCACCACTACACTCAATAAAAAGGAGGATTGCAATGTCAGGTGAGACTATTAAACACAATTAGAAAACAATTTTGACATAAAACAGTAAAAGTTGCTCTCAGGGTGTGAGAGTCACCTCCCTAAATGATCTGTACACATACCAAGTCAGAACAGAGTAGATTACAAGTGCTTTAAGCAATTTATGAATTAGATAATCACAAATCCCAAAACTATACAAAACGCTGTCGTGACATGTACCACATTGTAAAAGTATGTGCTGGGCAGAGATCCCACACAAAAGAATAGAGAAGAATAAATAATGAATAGGTATCCCAGAAAGCATACTGAAGTGGTAAGGAACATGGCCTGCTGCCATGAAGCATTAAAGGAGAACTATGAGGTGAGTGATTTTCACTCACCACCTAGTTCTAGCCGACCTGTGACAATGAGACTGCCACAGGTCGGCTCAGTAGATCGGGAGGTGAGCGAACACATACCAGCGTTCGCTCACCTCTCGACCCGGTCATGGCTCTCTGCCATGACAGGGGAGGGGCTGGATTCCCCCCTACCCGATCCGCCAGCGCTGACTGGAGGATCGGACGGGGGAGGGGGCGGGTACAGCTGGCTCTGCCTCTAGATAGGCAGAGCCAGCTGTCAGTCACGCAGCTGGGCGGATCCCGGCACAATTGTCGAGCAGTATACTGAGCTTAGGGTGAAGGGAGGATGCTAGTTTGTGTCCTCCCGTTACCCTAAGGAGAACTATGGGGAAAAGCCTTAACCCCATAGTTCTCCTTTACCAAGGGATGAGGTGTTGGTTTGTCCTGCACTTTGATACTGAAATCCTCACCTCGGTTCCAGTTCTGCTCGGATTGTTAGTCTTAGTGGGGCGGCTGGAGTTTAAATGCCTTTTCCGACACGTTATCTTCACGGCTGAGTTTCTCAAAGAGCAGATTAGAGCAGCATTTCCTAAGCTTTGATCAGTCGTGTCAGTGTAATGTTTCCAGTGTTCTGGACCATCAGAACATAAGGGAACTTTTTAGGATATGCGGTCAAACCTTCTACAGTCTGTACGATGCTGGGGCAGCGTTTACACAGTCTGGAACTTCAGATGGCACTTTGGGACGAAGGGGTCATGACCTATATCTGGCATCCTCATAGTGAACACCAGCCTGAGAGTGAGTCCATCCCCATCTACCTCTTTGGGTACACCACCAGTCCTTTATGTTCAAGTAGAACGGACACCTAAACTTTTGGTTTTAGTTTTGGATAAATGGAGAGTTGTAACCCCGTCAGCTTCTTTTGGAGGGGGGGGATTTCCCTTCATTTCCTGTCCGATAGCCACAGTATGTGAAAGGAAATCCCTCCAAAAGACAGCAACATTTCTGGGTCACAAGAACCAATGTCCCCATTGGAACAATTCCCATCAATTCCTATTCGGAGGACAACCCCAAATTAGGGATTTTCTTTCACTTTCAGGGATAATGGTCACCAGGACAAATATAGAGGATTAGAGGATGATCTCCCTAATAGTGATAGGCAGCAATAATAAATAATAAAAAAAAGGATGAAGAAGAGGAAGGGAAGAAGAGAGGAAGAAAAGAAAAAGGACAGGGGATCTAAGCCCTCCCCATTCTAGCCAAAACTAAAATATCTATCTATCCATCTAGTAGTACGTTAAGCCAAGGCCGTTTTTAAAAGGAGAACTATGAGGCGAGTGAAAAATCACTCAGCCTCATAGTTCTAGCCGACCTGTGAATGAAACTGTCACACATCTGCTCAATAGATCAGGAAGTGAGCAAACACATACTGTCGCCCGCTCACTTCTCGATCCTGTTCCTGCAGAGAGCCATGACTGTCACTCACGGCTCCCTGCAGGGATTCCCCCCCCTCCCGTCAGATCCTCCAGCGCTGACTGGCGGAACGGACGGGGGAGGGTAATGCTGTCTCTGCCTCTAGATAGGCAGAGCCAGCTGTCACTCAAGCAGCTGGGTGGATCCAGACCGTAATGTCGGGATCCGTTCCGGCGTCTCAGTATACCGCGAGCTGTAGCTCGCGGTATACGGAGCTTTGGGTGACGGAAGGACGCTAGTTTGTGTCCTCCCGTTACCCTTAGGAGAACTATAGGGAAAAGCCCTGACCCCATAGATCTCCTTTAAAAAGCTTTTCCCAGATCAGTGCCCATTTAGACTGAAAGCCCGGTAGTATTTCTGTCTTCTACTGCACTCTTCCCATCTTTTTTTTTTTAAAACCATAAAAGAACAGCAACTGATGAAAATTACCACGCGTACCTCCTACTCGCATCGCTTTAACTGTACTGGCTTCTTTCCTGTAGTTTTCAGGAGTCCCTCCAGCGCTGGTGCCGGTCTCTGATCCAGCGCTGACTGCAGTGTCTTCTGTGTCCCACTGTTTGTGCGGATGTACGCTGCATGCGTTGACTTTAGTTTTCAAACATGCTTGACTGTCAAAAGTCGTACGATTGTACAGTACTGTCGGTCGGACACTGCAATGCACGCATATATCGGCAGAAAAGTCGATCGCATACGAAAATCGCCCGATAATCGTAAGGTGTATGGGCACCTTTACCCTGTCTCTCTTTTCTTCTCCTGGCCGAAGATCTCTACATACGCCCGCCCCCATCATCCTTTAGGGCCACTTGAGACTTTTTTAAATCTTCGGATTACCTTTTTGGCAATTTATTTTTATACTTTTGACACACACAGTCTCCTGGCTCTTTTCTTAGCAGTCTTTTCCATGGTGTAAGAACCACACCTTTGCTCATTTAATACTTTAACTAGATGATTGGCACTTTAAAGAAGAGATTCCTCAAACATTATTAACCTTAAATAGGAAAATCGTTGCTTTACACCCATTCCAGGTGGAGTCTAAAACAGATTTGCCAATACTTGCAGAATGCAGCATTACATCCACTATAAATTCTCAATTGTCTTCAAAGACATGTACAAGCTTCTCATTTTTATAAACATGTAAAAGCCCCAT